TCTACAGCGTGTGTTTGTGTGTGTGTGTGTGTGTGTGTGTGTGTGTGTGTGTGTGTGTGTGTTTATGTGTGCGTGCGTGCGTGCGTGCGTGTGCGTGTGTTTTGCATTTGCTTCCTTTTCTATTTTTAATAGAGTTCAATATGACTCTCGTTTTAGTTTTGCATTAAAAATTGCGATGCCTTAATGTCAGTGGAATCCTAGTGTCAGCTTAATATGATCCCGCGTCGTGATTCTATTTTATTAGACTATTTATTAGCACACTGTATAGTTAATAAGTAGCACTAAATTTAGATGTAGGGGGAAATACCTCCAACAAAATGCAGCATTACAAAATAAAACAGGTCATATTTATAAATAACCATAAATGGATCAGCTATAACAATAGACATTTTTATTTTTGACATAAAGGTGTGTGTGGTTGATTCACTAAAAATATGATTTTAAAATAATAATAAAATGAGTAATGTTGTTGTCACATCACGTTATATTTGCTCATACATAACAGAGAAGTTGTAAGCATCAGTTAAGAGTCGATGCAATCTCAAATGGCTTTGGTTGATTCCGTATAACAGTGAAAGTGATGAATCAATTTCTTTGGAAAAAATATATAGTAAACATTGACTTACAAATGAATGGACGACGGGTCTAATACAAAAACCACGAAAAAAATGTCCCAAGTCAACCTATTGAAACGTAGTGACATGTAAAGGAATATGAAAAAGCTAAAACGTTGAATTTAAATTGTAATGTCATCGCAGTACTGTCTAATTTTGCTTGCTTCGCTGTCAGAAGAAACAAACGAAGACTAAAGCGTGAATGACGCTCTGTATACGATTTTAACGCCCTATAAGTTTGGACACTTTTTAGCGCGGACCCGACGTCCATATAATTGTAAGTCAATGTGTAAAATTGAGGATATAAACTGATTACTATACGATGTGAAAACACGAATTCTAAAACTTTTCACGATAGAAAAAAAACCGGTGTATTCAAAAAGTACTTTATATATACCAATAATTTTTTTTTTATATCAACAGAACTAACTATAATAGAACACGTATAGTATATAGTACGACATATATACTATTTTTAAACTTTTATTTCGTTTGTAAAAAATAAATTCTGAAATAAAGGCAGTGTCCCTGCTGCTCGACCCAAGCAAAATGAACGGTAGTAATACGGGAAAAAATGAAATTCGAACTAAGGTAAATTTTTATCTACACATCATGTTAATTTTATGGTAACCTATCACAAAGCCGAAAATCTTTTTGTCCGAAATAACGTTTGTTCGAATTTTCATTACACCGAAAACCGAATTATAAGGAAACAGTTGGTCTTTCAGGATATGTTGAATGTTTATCGCAAAGACACGATTAGGTTCGGTGTTCACCAGCTGTCTCCGGAACGGTGTGTTCCCGTCCGGCTGGAAATCGGCGAGGATGGTCCTCATAAAGAAGGAAGGTCGACCCGCAGACTCTCCCTCTGCATACCGACCCATATGCTTGCTGGACGAAGCCGGCAAGTGTTCTTTCAAACAAAGAACACTTGCCGAGCGGCACTGCGGGCATCTGTCGCGAGTAGGGCCTGACCTGTCGGAAGACCAGTACGGCTTCCGGCAGGCGCGGTCGACAGTGGACGTGATCCTTCACTAAATGATTATCACTAGTAACAGGTTTCTTACCACGGTATAACTTCTTTTTATTTTCCCGATATTTCGGAACGGTTGCACGCTCCATGGTCACGGGTTGACTGGACAGCGGCAGATGACAGCTTTATGGGCAGACATATCTGTCTACCCTCTTGCGCTGTCGACGACTACCTTCATCGCGATTTGTTGTGGCGTTACCATTGTCACTCACTTTTTTCACACAAACCACACTTACTGTATCCACACGCGAAACTGAACTCGAGGTGTTTTTGTTTTTATTACTGCACGCACCAAGGACCGGATTCCATGCACTGGACAGTTTAAAACCATCATCACGGTTAAATGTTTTGTACTTCGTGATCTCGATGGCTTCTCGTACCAACCGTGGTATGTAGTGACGTTCTGTCGAGAGTACCTGGGGGTTATGCAACTCGATCCAGTGGTTAGTGTCAGTCTGTGTGAGATGTTGTGCTATAGCCGACTTCTGTGCATCATTGTTTTTGTTGTGATCCTTCACGTTCGTACACTGTCGACGCAGGTACTGTCCCGGGGCGGAGTGGATTGGCGGTAAGCCTGGATATCGTCAACGCCTTCAACTCCTTGCCCTGGTTGACCGTTAAGGAGGCGCTCGAGTATCATTGAGTGCCTCCGTACCTGAAGCGAGTTGTCAGGTCCTACCTATGCGACAGGTACATTACGTACCCGGGCCGGGATGGCGCAAGCCATCGCATAGAGGTCGTGTGTGGGGTTCCGCAGGAGTCTGTCCTTGGACCACTCCTTTGGAACCTCGCATACGATGCTGTCTTGAGAGTCGCACTCCGCCCGGACGTGCATCTGGTGTGTTATGCTGATGACACCCTGGTGCTCGCCGGAGGGGAGGACTTCGAAAGGACCATCCGGCTCGCTGAGCTCGGGGTTTCTCGCGTCGTCGAAAAAATCGAGGAGCTGGGTTTTGCGAGTAGCGCCTCAGAAAACTGGTGACGTCGACATCCAGGTGGGGCAGTACTTAAAATACTTGGGCCTCATCCTGAACGGTCGCTGGGATTTCGAGAAGCACTTCCGTCGCCTGGTTTACGTCATTTCGGACTACTGGCAGGTAACCTAATTTTATATATTTAACATACTGTAAAAATTATCAACATTTACTTTATTTGAACTAGGATTCGTCTTATGAAGTAATGCCACGGTAAGGTTAACACTGAAACTGTACACACATGGTACTTGTCAATTTTATGTCTTAAGGGGACAGGCGCCTTGGTAGCTTTGACTGAGATCTTTGAGATTATAATTTTTTTTAATTTTTTTTTCTTTTAGAACGTAATATATAATAATAACTTTTTTTAAAAAAAAAACCGGCCTTAAACGGCCTCGTGAAATTACATCTATTTGCGAAGTTTTATTGAAATCGGTTACCGGAAAGTGCGCGAACTGGATTCTTGCCCTAGTTGTTCTTATCCTTGAGGTGAAATATTTTCTTCAAATTTAAATGGTACCAATACTGAGGTTTCTCTTGAGGCCTCTTTCCAATAAAAAAAATCATCGAAATCGGTTCACAAACGCTGGAGTTATCGCGTAACATCCTTTTTTTTGAAATCGGTTATTATAGAAGAACTTTTTAAGTCATATTGTCACTCACGTAATGACAAGAAATTAATCACACCATCAGTCCATCACCAACTACAGTAACATTTAAATAATATAATTACAAGTTTTTTATAAAAATAAAATCACAAATGTTTGCTTATCCGCTTTCGCCGTTTGTTGTACATCTATTTGCTTAGTTATATTGAAATCGTTTAACGGAAAGTGAATGAAATCTAATAAACTGGATTCATACTGTAATTGGCCGTCTCTTGGATCCCTCCGTAGATATTTTCTTTAAATTTGAAAGGGACTACCATCGAGGTACCCTTTTTTCAACAAAAAAGAATAATCGAAATCGGTTCATAAATGTCGAAGTAATTGCGAAACATATTCCATAACATAACCTACCCCTTTTTGAAGTCGGTTAAAAAAGGCATCGCTCTGATTGAGCCCGATCGTGGGCTACACACGTTCAAGCATGCGTTACTTCTGGGAAGTCTATTTTTATCAAGTTTTGAGAATTTTATCTAGTTTCCAGTAGATAAACAAGAATATATCATAAATATAAGTAGTGTTTTGGTCATGAGAGCGTGGTATAATTTGAAAGTGTAATAATCATAAATAATGTGCCAACGTACATTGGCCCCAGTCTCATTATTCTCAAGTTCGTAAAGCGCAACGGGGCACTAAAACAATTTTTGCGTGCAGTCATTATTGCGCCATCTAATGGTCAAGTAGTGAATTAAACCCGCACGAATGCATTGATAAGAGCCATTGACTTATAAATAAATGGACGACGGGTCTAATACAAAAACCACGAAAAATATGTCCCAAGTCTACCTATTTAAACGTAGTGACATGTAAAGGAATATGAAAAAGCTAAAACGTTGAATTTAAATTGTAATGTCATCGCAGTACTGTCTAATTTTGTTTGCTTCGCTGTCAGTCGAACAAACGAAGACTAAAGCGTGAATGACGCTCTGTATACGATTTTAACGCCCTTTAAGTTCGGACACTTTTTAGCGCGGACCCGACGTCCATATAATTGTAAGTCAATGATAAGAGCATTATTATTTATGGCCAAAACAAACAGGCAACCTGTACTTTTGTTTAAAGCCACAAAGCAAGAACAATAACCTACAATTTATAAGTTATTGTTCTTAAACCACAAATCATTTAAGTTTTACTCAAAAACATGTATTTGATTCGTTGAAACGTCACATTTAAATTAATCTTTTATAATGAAAAACTTAAAATATAAATATAATTACGGGCGACAATAGAGCGGTAGGAGAAAGATTTACGGTTTGAATTCTTGTGACCCGTATGCACCCGTATTTATTTTTAAGTTACGTGTATGTGTTGAATGTGTACAGCTATGCACTTTTTTCTTTGTTTAACATGACTGAAAAAAGAGGCAGGCCACGATATCTATGTAAAGACGTCTACCATGAATATTCTACATTTACTTCACCTGTACATCTTTTTTTATGGAAGATGATTTGGTTCCACTTCATAATTTAGAAAAGCACGTAGCCTCGTAGACAATAACGTGTTATATCAATACAATTGACGTATGATATTTTTCAATTCTATTTCTATATAAACGACTTAAAAACAAGGAAGACCGTCCGCGCGCTCATACCTAACGCGTGGCCGACTACTCGTGATGAACCTATATTTATCTATATTTTATAAAGTGCTCTTAGACATGAGCGTCATAATAGCGTTTGTCATGCTTTATTAGATGTATAAAATAAAGACTTACCTCTAAATCATTCTTGGCATGGTTCAACTTCTCCAAATGAACTCTTAACACGTCGACAGAAGTGATCGGCTCATCTTTGACGTCATTTTTTTCTAAAATCGCCTTTATCTTATCTACGAGCTGACAGAAGTCTTTCCATATCTCCAAATCTTGTTCCAATTGAGCTTGACGGGATTTCGCTGAGTTTAATGTATTCTTCAACTGCTGATTATGTTTTTGATGTTCCTTAGATAATTCCTCTTGTTCGCTTGCAGCTAAGGATGGCCAAATCTTGTCAACAATATCCTGCATTCGTTTGCCAACTAAATCCTTCATTTCTGGTTCAGAAGTGTTAAAGAATGACTTGTGTTCTTCCAAATCTGCTTCGATGTTCTCAAAATCTGTGCCGTTCTTGCCCATGTCTAGACGTATCGCAGCTTCATTGACCCAAATGTTTAGTTTTTCTACCAATTGTCCGTATTGTTGTCTATATTTCTTATTGTCTTGTAAATATTTCTCTCTATTCGCTAATTCTTCTGGTAGAGACGTTTGTAGAGAGTTTGCTTCGGAAACCATTTCTAACAACGATCCAGGAACGCCATCATCGCTTTTAATAATATCAGTGATCTTAGTTAATTTATCCAGGTATGACTGAATATTCTTTGCTAGAGTTGCATGTTCGATCAATTTCTTGTCCACACTAGCTACATCTCTATTAAGTAAAGGTCTTGAAAGCACTGCAGCTTCATTATCATGGAGCCATTGGAGAATTACAGATAGATCTGAAGCCAATTTCTTATGTTCAGCAGCTGCCCTTTCGTATTCTTGACGTTTGGACTCTACAGTCCTTCTAAGAGTCAAGAGTTGTTGTTTCAGTGACTGTAGAAGTTCAGTAATGTTATTTCTGTCTATTACTGTACCTTCAGCTGCAATTTGTTGACCTTTGTCGGTAGCAGTGGCCAATATAGCTTCACAACCTTGAATTTTGCCAATAATGTCATCGTAGCGTTTGATTTTATCTTCCAATGAGTCATTAGATTTCTCAATTTCAGATGTGAGATCAGTGTACTTAGCTATGAATTCCTCGATTTCTTTAATAAGTGCAAAGAATTGTTCTCGCAATAATAACAGTTGTTTTAATTTTGATATTTGGTCCTCAATCGTGCTCATTAATTCGTCTTCTTGAGCTAAAATGTCTTGTAGATCGTGCAAATTGCCTCCTTGTAGTTCGTTAAGTTCCTTCTTATTTTTCCTGAGATCAGCTAAGATAGACTCGTAAGCTTGTATTATAGGTTGGACATCTTCAACTTTGCTACCAATTGGTTTGTTCAATGCTTTAAGTTTGTTTTGAATTTCATTAAGGAATTCGAGGGCTGCGGCTATTTTAGCCGCTGCATCTTTGTACTCTTTAATATGCTTCAAAAGAACATTCTTCTTGTCATTGATTATGGCATTTATTCTAGCAAATCTATCAGAAATAATGTTAATCTGTTCTTTAAGTTGTAGTTTATTGGAATCAGATAATGAGTCCATAATATCCTTGGATTTGTCTTTGACTTTGGTAATATTTTTGTCAACATCCTCAGCTTCTTTACTTAGTTTCTCAAACTTAGCTAGTTGCTCTTCTAACAATTGCAAACTAGCAGTTCTTAGCTCAGGGGTAGCAGCAACTTCAGCTTCGTTCAACCAGCTCTGAATTTTAGCAACTTCCGATTCAAAGTCACTTCTTCCTTGCAGTAGTTTGTTCAGTGCAGCAAGCTTGTCGTCAATGTCAACCTTAGCTGATGTATACTGCTTATTAAGGTCTTCCAATATTGCATGTAGCTTAGCACGATCTTCAGGAGAACAATCTTTACATACAGTATTACCTTGCCGCATGACTTCAGTCAGTGTATCATTATTGAAATCTTGCAATTCGCTTTGATGCTTCTTATGCACTCCAATATCCTTTTCTATTTTCGCAGCTTCTAAAGGTACGGGTCCTCCCAATTTTTTAATTTCAGCAAGTTTAGCTTTCAACCAGTTCTTTGCTTTTTCGATATCATTTTCTAGTTTCTTTCTGTCTTCAGTGCTTGAACCTAATCTGTCAATTTCTTGTTTAACAAGCGAAACTAGTTGCTTTTGTTTAGATGCTAGCTCGGATAGTTCAGATTCCAATTGCATTTGTTCTGAAGGTTCAAGTTCAGATTGAATGTTGCTTACTTTTTTCTCCAAAGAGTCAATAACCGTTTTCTTTCCATCTGTTTCCTTTAAGAGATTAGCCATTTTCTTCTGCCTTTCTTTTACTGACTTGCTTTCAAAGCCTAGTGGTTCAGGATGGAGAATGTTGTCAATTTCTTTTTGCATCCATTGGTTTTGTGCACCAACTTCATTTTTTGTGCCGTCTATGGCTTTGTATGTAATTTCGAGCATTTGAAGTTTGCGTTGGATACGTTTAGCGATGTCATTGTATCTTCGCTCTACGGATTTCATCTGAAAACAAAAATTAGTCTTACATATTTTCGATTAAAGATATATGTATTACCTAGGTCTATGATACATATTTCTTTGAGAAATGCCTTGTTCGATTCATAATGTTTATTTTATTAAGGGACAAATTCTAATTACTAAAATTTGAGTTTGCGTACGTACGTACCTGTTCTTCAACTTGTTGAGATTCCAAATTGCTAACAATATTGATAACTTTAGAGCCAACAGTCTTGATATTATCTACTTTATCTTTGCCGGCTTTTCCGAATTCATCAGATAGTTCTTTCAACGCACTAAGCTTTTGCGGGCATGGTAGACCGGATCCCTTATCTGCTAAGCACATTTTCTTGAGAACAGCATCAAACCAATCGTGAATCTCTTGGCATTTGTTTCGGAAGTCATCAATAATTGCTTGATTGCCTTTTTCTCTTTCGATGGCTTTGAGAATATCTTCTTCGAGGTTGTCCAGTTCTTCTTCTAGATTGATTTCGTCTTCTAGACCTGAAATATATTCTTAGTTATCAAAATGTTTGTTAGTTTTGATTTTTGATTTAGCTCTTAATTATGTGGATATGCTTAATATTGTAAAAAAATTGTGTGATATTTTACTGTAATTCCTTGGGTAACCTATATTTCTACTTTCGTTCGTCAAAGTTACTACACAACAAATTGAGAGTAATCTTACCTTCTGTTGGAATTTCAGTAAGTAACCTATTTCTCTTCTCTGCTAATGATTGTAAAGCGTCGTTCATAGAGGCCATATCTTGCTTAGCCGCTTCAGGCCTCAACTTTGATGGGTTGGCCAGCCAATCACGAGCGAGCGCGTTGTGGACGTTGATCCATTCTTGGATTTCAGTCACTTGCTTCATTGCTTCCTCCATGCTGGAGACTGCATCGCCTAGAGTTTCTAGATGACTTTGCACCTAGAGAATAAAGTTTTAGATGAATATGATGATTGGAAGAAATAATACGCATCACTGCTGTATTAGATTATATCTTAAGGAAAAATAATCAATATTCGTGACAATGTTCGTATTCTAATTACTTTCTACTAGGTTGCTTCATGTTTAAGTAGATATTTTATTTACAATTTAAAGTAACAGCGTCATAAAATTGCAATTATCTGTGTCAACTGGAGGTTTTTAATAATGTGTACACAAATTAGTGACACTTGGCAATGTATTTAATTTTATTAGTAACGACGATTTTAGATATTTTATGTTTATTAGCTTATAAAAGGTGTACAACGTCAACACTGCTGTCAACCTTTAGACACGTAAAAATGGTAGGACCTTTCTCAGATATACGAACCAAATTTTTTAGAATCAAAAAAGAATTACGAATCAAATAAAGAATTTGCAGATTATGACGTTGTAATGTGTCGCAACGCTGATATCACAAACATTCAAAAGCATCATGCAAAGCCTTACCCGTTGCTCTAACGTGGTCAGCTTGTCTGTGAACTCAGGCCCTTCAAAATTCCTTAATATCGCGTCGATCTTGGTGCTCCCTACGTCACTCACATGTGTCTATGAACAAAGCATGCATGACAAACAAAAAGGCACACAAACCAAGGTGCTATAAGTGCATTGAAGTACAGAGAGAATTTCTTTGCATTCGTGGATTGAATGACTGTTATTTTATTTCATGTAACAAACAATACAATTCTGTTTATTTAAGAAATATATTAAATTGTCAGTTTTTATTTCCAATCTACAAAGTTATACTCTCTGCGCAAAACAGATGTGTTTTAACTAGTGCAACCATTGCTGTTATTCCTTGCTTTACATATTGTTACGCTATTTATCAGGATTTTACATATCCGTGTCGAATATTCTACATGACCACACTCAGTTTTATTTACAGTGCTCGTTATTCACTAAATAGCCATCTTCTGATTCAAGATGATTTACCTTATATTATTATTATTAGTAATTACTAATTTTTAATAATTCGAATGAAGATCGTTAAATTCAGAACGAAGCTTTAAATTATAATAAATTATACCCGTGGTTATCTAAAAAGTAATAATTTATTTGATTTACTTCCTTCCAAGTATTAAAAAATGAAACAATTGTCTTTTTTAAGGAGCCCATTTAGCGTTTCACATTTTTAATTTATTTTACTACCTATGGTTGTCAACTGACAACTTTGGTATCATCTTGATTCAGTAACACCAGGTGCACAAAAATTACATTGCCAACGATAAAGCCTTTTAGCAAACTACTAACTATCTACCACGCCGGTAAACTATGTGAATTATTTGACCTTACGTTTTAGTTAGCTTGTTGGTTCTGTTCTTTTTGTAGACCTGGCAATCTTTAATTTCTAGAAATATTAGTTTTAGTACTATATTTATTTAAAAATGCTTACTCATTTACAAAGGTCGACCGAAATGACATGAACATTTTTATCGTCAATGTCGTTTCTTGAAATTTTAGTCGACTCTTACAGACACGGAGTAGTTATTATAAAAATTGCACGCTAATTTGTAATTATACCAATTCTTAAGCACTTGAGAATAAAACGTAGTGGTTATTATTCTTTGGGCAAAATCAAAATAAATTTGAAGAAAGATTTGTTAATAAAAAAACAAATTTCAAAAACACGCTTAAAAAGACGTCAGCACATCAGAAGCCAATACTGTACCGGAAGCCGCCAATACCTGATCGATGAGGTCTTCAAGGCGCGCACGCACATGTAGCTCGCGCGGGGGTATGGGCAGCGGCGCGGTGTCCGCAGGGGATGACGGGCGGGAAACTGATGCAGCTGCTGCTGAGCATGCTGCTACTGCCGCTGACAGGCGAGACTTTTCTGTTTGAAGACGGTTGTGAAGTGTCTGGGAAGAATATACCACACGTACATGATAAAATAATTCGTGGAGGTCGTAAGCCTCATTATCGAGAACTATGGCTGGAATAACTTTTTAAGCACCATTTGGTGAACAGTAGCCATAAAATTATATACAAAAAAGTAATATGTGTACAAAAATGTACCAGACAAACAAACAATATTCAAATTAAATGTCATTGTAGCTTTCTAATATACTCACCCTAGCCTTATCCAAGAGTTCACGACCATGAGCCAATCCATCAACCGGCACATCTAATTCTGTAATAGCTGGTTCACATTCATCCAGATTTTGCAGGATACTCTCCAATGTATCTTCATACTCCTTGAACTTCGCAAGGCCTTCTCTAAGGCGACGTTCAATCTGCAGTGCAGTGGCTAACAAAGACTTGTGACTGTCATTTACGTTTTTCAATTGTTTTCCTACAGTGTCACGAATTGCCGGCGTAGTGGCTTCGTATCGCTCGATTTGAGCTCGACCCTTTCCTTCTAAGTCGTCAAGAGTTGATCTATATTTTTGTATATCGTCCAGCAAGACCGCATGTTGAGCTAACTGTTCCTCAGTTTGCTCTCTATTGTGGATGTATAATGAGTTATGGGCCATTAGTTGGAAAGAAATCTGTAACAACCATTTTTCTGTGTCTTGTAATGATTGGTGGTATTGGTTGTAGTCTTTGATTTCAGACTCCAGCTCAGCCTTTTTAGCCGCGCAATTTGATCGTAATGCTTTGATTTTCTTTTCAATTTCTGTAACAGATTCCTTAACAATTGGTTTTTTAGCCCAAGAACTGAGTTCTGCAGCTTCACTCTTGAGCCTTTCTAACTCCGGTGTCTTATTATCAATTTCATCTTCAATGTGTTTATATTTTTCCAATAAAGTCTTCATTTCACCAAGTTCGCCACCAGTTGGGGGTACCTTATCGAGGTTCTTTTCTGTATCTTTGATCCATTGGTTCATTTTATTTTTGGATTCCTCGAAATCCTCCCATTTTCCAATAGCAGCTTTAAGTTGTGCTGTGATAGAGTTCAGGTCAATCTTCAATTGGTCCCAACTTTCTTGAAGTACCTTGACATCATTACGTAGACTATCTTGTTCTTCCGGTGGGGTGTTATTAAGGGCTTTCTTAAAGGCTTCTTGTAAGACGACCAATAAATGGTGACCCTCGGTCATTCTATTGCTTACAAGTTTAATTGTTTCAAGTTTATCTTTAGTTGTATCAATGTCTCCAACTCCAATGGAGTCCTGGACAGTACCATGAGCGGTTTCTAACCATTGTTGAAGGTCTTCCTTGGCCTTAATAAATTCAGTATGATCAGATAGGTTCTTTTCACCATTAGACACAAGACCTTGAATTTTTGTTAATAAAGTGGTATATTCTGTTTGCAGGTTCACAGTCTTATCGCGTACCCAAGCGCATGCACTGAGCTCCATTAGATTTTCGCATCTATCATTAAGTTCTTCTAAGATGTGTTTGTGACCTAAAGCTTCTGCTAGAAGTTCCTATAAACAAAACATAATATAACGTGAAATAAAATATGCAACTTGTATCAATTGAAATTTTGAAATTGTAATACTTACACGACATTTGTCAAGATGTTCAGGAGTAATCTTGTCGACTTTCTCAACAGTTTTCAACTTATTATCGAAGTCTTTTACCCACTTGCTCATCTTATCCGACGTTTCCAGGAAATCTGACCAAGCGGAGAGACATTTCTCCAGTAACTTCTTAGTATCTTTGCAAATTTGCTGTAGGTTCTCCCATTCGATCTTCAGTTGTTTGATTTCTTGATTTATGTTATCTTTACCTTCAATTCCAGTAGTTTCTAGAACTGCTTCACTAACTTTGACAGCTTTAGTAAGGAGTGCTTCTCCTTTGGGTAAAGACTCGATTATTTTATTTACGTTCTGTAGTTTTTTCTGCACTTCTTCTTTTTCGCCGTGGGAGTCGGAGCATTGTTGAATTTCAATCTTACAATTACGTATCCATTCGTAGAAGTTGTCGTAACATTCTTTGTATTGAATGTGAGAACTCACGTAGTCTTCAAGTTTCTGAGACCAAAACACACATCCACATTATCATAATTATAAACGGATTACAATAATAAAGAAATATTTTTTATATAGTAAGAATAACTTAGCTACACAAATGCAATGAATACTTACAGCAATCATCTCAATAACAGTCTTTCTAATATCATCATATCGTTTGAGAGTGTCTTCAATTTCTTTAGACTTCAAAGAGGCATCTTCTTGCAACTTTTCATTCAATTTCTTAACAAGATCGCTGTGAGAGTCTATATCTCTGTTGAATGTTTTGAATTTTTCCAACTTTGCTTTCTTTTCTGATAAGTCGTTCAAGAGCGAATCGTCTGATTGGATCTTATGGTCAATGTCATCTAGCCACTCAACTAATAGTTTGTGAATCTGAAAATTAAATTAATTTCAATTAATTGACAGTCAATTGTGAAGTTCATACATATAATTTTCACTAATATACAATTCAATCAAAAACAAATGTTCATATCATCTGCCAAGCTACACTTCGAATAATACTTAACGTTATAATATCAAAACAAAGACAGCTTACCTTAGAAATATCATCAAACTGAGCAGCTCTATTGATCAACTTATTACGAACATCTTGTAAATCCGCAATGAGTTTATCAAATTCCTGTTTTAAATTGTCTGTGTCTTCTTGTATTTTAGCTGCACCAGCTTGTTCTGTGTTCATAATAACCTTCTCTTTCAATTCAAGGAGATACCTAAGTTTATTTTGACCCTGCTCTAGAGATTGACGTAAAAGTTTTACAGTGTTAAGTTTACTATTAACTTCCTGTAAGGTATTAGGTATGTCAGCACACTGGTTTAGTTTTTCTCTGGTTCTATCGAGCCAGTCTTGACATTCTCCATAAAGCGCATTATGTTGTTGATGTTCCTAGTAAACAAGAAGAAAGATAGTTTAGAAGATAGCCTTTTCCTGATCGTGGTAGGATTTTTGTAAGTGGCGGATAATCATAACGATCACTCTGATCTAAAACTAGGTCATCCATTGTATCAAAAGTATTATAATAGCATTTTTTCCATTATATCCTAGGGCTTTAAGGTAAATAACCAGGATGTGAAAGAAAATTATTTCGATCGAGAATCGAATGGAGGACCACGCGATTTTAGAACAAAATAATACGTATAGATAATTTAAAAACCTTTTTTGTTCTTGTGAAAGTTTGGCTGAAGGGTGCTTAGTAAAAACGGAACTCGAAATCAATCGGAAAATTAAGTAAATATTTGTTCAGAATGACATATAAAACACGTGCCAAACCTGTACCTTCAAGTCTACGACTCTACCTGTTCTTCCTGATAAAAAAAGGTTAATCATTAACTGAAAAGTTTTTCCTGTACTATTTACATTAATCAAACAATCACAGACACAGGCGAAAATGAAACATAACCTCTGTTTGAAATAGGACACAGTTTAAAAAGTATAATAATAGTTACCTGGTAGTGGAGTTCAAGCCGTTTCATTACTTCCTTAGCCAAAGATAACAGCGCATTGTACTTTGTTGTTATTTGTGTGATTCCATTAGATATCCTAGTATCAGCACAAGTTTCCAGCAAAGTTTGTGCTCGAACATTTAATTTGTCTAGGTCTACTTGCCAATCAAACAACATTTGTAAATGTCCCTGAAAGAAAATTATGAAAATTGTATTTGTTCTTTGCGTAGGGAAGTCAAATTTCTCTGTCGCGCCGTAAAACATTTCATACCTATCTAATGAAATACATAAGTAGTTATCAATAAGTTGTACCAACCTGGAATTCTTCAAGAACAATTTTCTTCTGTTCCAAATTGTTCTGTAACTTGTTAAATGATTGTACTAATTTCTCAGTCTTCGACAGCCAATCCAAGGCTTCTTTGTATTGTTCTTCGTATTCGGTCCACTTCACGATACCTCCCTCAATCATAGCTTTGGTCTTGTTCAGCTGCTCACTGACAGAGTATAATACTCAAAATAAATACAAAGTATGTATAAAACTTTAAATACTGATTATGAATTTATACTTACACATATGTGTCATATTCCTCCTGCATCAGAGCTACTTCTTCTTCAATATCTTCCCTGTCTTCTTCATCTGCTAAGCCACAGGATATTTCACCTTGCTCCAACGCTTTCTGCAACTTGGCATGTCCTTCGGGTAGTTCACTTTCTAATACCTTGAGTTGCGAAATCTTGCTGCTCAGAGATTCCTTGTCTCCAGTCGCATCAGAACATTTGCCTAATCTTTCTTTAGCAGCTCTAATCCATTGGACGAAGTCTGTACCGGCATCAATAAACACTTGATGTTGCTCTACGGTCTGTTTCTGTTTATCATACAGGTCTTTAGCTTGCTTTGATAATGTTTCGTATTTGCTAGTAATCTCAGATGCTGGAGCTTGTTGCATTAATTCTGAAGCCTTAGAAGTTACAGACTGAATCATGGGTTCAAACGAAACGATATCTTGGACAATATTGTTTGTTTGACGAAGTGTCGCTTTTCTTTCTCCCAAACTAAGGCCTGTTGTAAGACCTGCTAGGCGATCTTGGGCCTTCTTTGTCTTGGCGACTTTTTGCTCACACACTTCTTGCAGTTTTGCTTCTCTGTCGGAGATCCATTGTTGTAGTTGCGAGTAGCTAGAACTATAGTCGGCCCATTGCAGTAATGCTGTCTCGAGGTGAACTTTGGCCGTGCTCATCTTCTTAACGAGACGATCCCATTCATTCTGAAGTTCTTTTAGTTCAGTGTTAATTTTATCTTTTCCATCGGATCTCGTATTCCTCAAGACTTTTTCTCCACTATTAACTGTTGCGTGTACTAAGTTCTGCCCTTCCTCTCTTCGTTTCAAGAGATCTTCAATTTGCTCTAATCGCTTTTGTAAAGCTTCCTTACTGCTGTTACTACCAGCATCACTTCCACTTCGTGTGATCTCCCAGGCATCATCTATCCATGTTTTGGTCTTGGCGTAGTTGTCGTCGTAATTCTGATGTTGTTCGTAATTAGTCTCTACCTTCTTGAGTACGTCATTTGCCATATTGACAAGGACCTGGTATCTCGAGTTAAGGTGTCTCAGTTGATTGTTTACGTAAGTGTCCAGGTGTGAGGATAATAGGCCAGCAGCCGAAGCATTGAAGTTGTCAATATCATCTTTGCCTTTGTTGAGCTGACTTACAATTTCTTTTACTTCATTTACTTGTGCGCCTTTCTCTTTGGCAGATCCGAGTAAAGCTAATTTATGGTTCTTGATAAGGATTTCCTTTTGTTGTAGCCAATCAGAAAGCCTTTCATATTCGTCTTTGAAATCTCTCCATTGATTAACAGTATCCTCCAATTGGCTTTTCTGCTGTTTGATTTCATTGAATAAGGCGTCAAAACTTTCTTTCAAAGCCTTCATCTCGTTTTTGATGATCGCCTGACCATCTGGAGATGTGCTTGCTAACACAACTTCACCCGTGTGTTGCAAGTGTTCTAGCAGCAATTCTCCTTGGGCTTGTTTATTGATCAAAGCTTCAAGAGGAGCAACAGAATTCTCAATAGCCAATTTGTCACTCAGCGGTTTAGATTTCAAAGACGGGACTTTTTCTCTTGCTCGTCCCAACCATTGTATAAGTTCATCGTGAGCCTCTTTATATAGTCTGTGATCCTTATATTGCTCTTCACGATCTGCCAACAATTTCTTAATTTTATCGTACAAAGAGTCAAACTTATTCAGAGTTTCCTGCGCTTTCGAAGCTGCCTGGTTTTGTTGACCACTAGCAATCATTTCAGCTGCTTTTGCTTTTAGAGTATCAACATCAATTCGATCACAACGTGCTTTCTCCTCGACCTCTTTAAGTTTTTCGAGCTGTGCTCTCTTATCTGACATTGATGTCTCATACGGCATTAACGCAGCTAGCATATTTTCCAAATAGACGTTGCTTTTGTCAATTAGTTGTATTTGCTCTAAGAAACCAGCCCATTTAGTAACAGAATCATCAAGCATGTTTTTGGTCTCAATCATCCTAGATAATAACGCTGACCACTGTTCTTGTAAGGCAACTAACGCATTATTAATAGCCTCATGGCCATCGGGTGCAGTGTTAGCCATTACATTCTGAGCCAATTCAACTAAAGACTGTACTTTAGTGAACCCTTCGTCTTTAGCAAGTAAAAGGTTCTGTATCAACACAAGCTTAGTCTCTAAGTCATCTTGAGAGCATGAACTCAAGTCAGCGCAATAATCTAACTTGTCTCTCAGTTCTTCAATCCATTGGGAACATTCAGTTACATTGCTAGCAAACTCTTGGTGGGTCTTAACGTACTGCTGCCATCTATTGGTAAGATCTTTTACTTTCTGTGAAAGAGTCTGGTATTTCACAGCCAAGTCTGATATTTGAGAGCCACGAGGTCCTAATACTCCCGTGTACAGATTTTGTGCTTTTTCAGTAATATTGTCGATCTCGAGTTCCTTGGCGCGCACTTCACCTTGTAATTCCTGGAACTTTTTAAATTGTTCTTGCTTCTCTGGCAACGTAGCCTTAAGATCTACAGCGTGAATAGCTGTATCCGTGTTTCTTATCCACGTCAAGCATTGATCTTTAATGTTCTCATATTCGTTCCATTGTTGTATCTTATTTTCAAGCGTTTCAATAGTCTTGTTAATAAAAGAAACTAATCCTTCCCATTCTTGATGAGAAGCATCTATTTGGTTTCGTATATTACCTTGTCCACTGTTGATAGTTCCAGGCAATACTTTCTCTCCTAAGGAACGAATTTTATCAATGCGGTTCTTTTCCTCAGGCAAACTCATTTGTAGGGATTTCAATTTTTCGCAGTTACTGCTCAAAGCAACTCTCTCCAAATTAACATCACCCCAAAGCTGAGCAGTATTCTGTGTAGCTTCTACCCATTCTTGCAAATCCATAACAGCTTTAGTGTATTGCTGATGATTATTGACGATTGCTTCGTATTGTTCTACGAACGCCTTGGCTCTTGTAAGTATAGTTTCATGCCTCTGTTTTAACGATTCTATCTCTTTTGAAATACCTTTCGTAACATCAGGTAAGCTCTTAGCACGTTCAGCTAATATAGAAATATCCTGCTGGTGTGCAATGGCATCTTGAAGGTAGGTCCTGTAAACATTAAGTTGATTTCGCTTCTCATCCAAAGTAGCCCTCAATTCTATTTCTTTAGGAAGATTCTTTTCGGCGGTGGTCAGCCATTGTTGTACACTCTTAAGATTGTCGTCAAACGATGACCACTTGTTTAGTTCTAAATCCAACTCTCTTTCGGCTTTAGTGATGTTGTCATATAAGTTGTCCAAAGCCTGTTGGATTTCGTGCAACTGTTGTTCAATAAGTTCCTTGCCTTCATGTGACGTAGAAGGGTATAACTTTTCTCCTAATTCAAAAGTGTTATTAACGAGAAGGGTAGCATTTCTGCGTTGACTCAATAATTCGTTAAGGCTTTCACGTTTAGCAGCAATTCCTTCAGGAGTACTGGACAGATTCTTCTGACATTCATCGAACTTATGCTGAGCTGCCTTAATCCAATCAGTGCACTGATTGTATTTGTCTTGATAAGCATTGTGATCGTTGACAGCTTGCTCACATTTCTTGACTAGTTCCTTAGCTGTAGATTGAACAGATTGGAACCGTGATGTCATTTGTTGCAAATTCATTGTGATTCTTGTGTCATTGCAGTTTTCGACGAGATCACTGAACTCATCAGTCAATTTGTCGACATCATTCTCTGTCTTCTTCAAGTTAGCCAAAATTGCCTAGAAGTTAGAAAACTGGTTAACGAAACCCATTATTTATTTAATGCCTTTTTATTTTATTAAACTAACTACGACAACTAATATTAGTATCATCTTGAACAAATAAAAAGATAAAATATAATAGGCGCATGAATAGATTTGTAAGGTAAGTACCAATTACCGACGCCTTCACTAAGATTAGTATTTTACTGAATATTGTAATAGATAAATAAGTGACAAGAGTAGAAACTACGTAGGTATATTACGAGTGATTGAAAAACTGTTAGGATATACATAATAATATTCCCAATATTAAATCCGTGAAATTAGAACGTCTACTGAAAATTAGACTATATCCTACAGTGCCGAGGATATAAAAAAATTTTCTCTTCAAAATCTTACTTGATCCAAAGCTTCGCCATGTTTTATGACTGCATTCAAATCATTTTCATGATATTCAATCGCTTTAAATAATTCCTGTTTAAAATTATTATCATGAAATATATATAAGTGTATTGTATTACAATAATATATGAATAGTTTACATACCTGATATTTGTTTAACTGGTCAATTTTTTCTTCTAATGTTGCTTTAGGCGTGTAAGTTTTCAAAGTCATCTCGGTATCACTTAACCAATGTTGCAGACGATCATTGGCACTGTCGAATTCTATCCATTGTTGTATTTTGTCTTCAATACCCCTCTTAACGTCATGAACTGTGGCAGTAAACTTTTCTAAGTCTGCCCTGAGCAAACCCAGTTCTCTGGACATACCTTCCTTGCCCCTGGGAGATAATTTTGCAGCATTAGTCTCAATTAGATCTGACAATATTTTCAACTTATTGTTGCCATTCGGAATAGCGTCCAACAACTCCTGAATCTTAGCTAATTTTCCTTGCAAAGCGGATTTGTTGCCGCTATAATCAGATAACATGTGAAGACGATCCCATAAATGTTTCTGATAGTCTTGTAAAGATTTCTGTTGGTCAGCAAATTGCTGGAAGATATCAAAATTCTTTTCATGTTTGTCAATAATGCCAGAAAGTCTGCTTGTCAAAGCATTGTATCTATCCCATATGGATTGTATGATTGCCGTCATCTCGTCACTTTCTCCTTTACCGGAGTGAAGTGTAGCTGCTACATTTTTAGCCTTCTCAGTGACTGTTTCAATCACTCTTTTATGCGAATAGATCTCTTGCAAGAGGGTTTTGTTTTTCAGCAGCTTTGATTTGATTTCTTGGGCAGAATTTAGAACTGCCTTTTCTTCAGATTCTATGATTTTTTCTTTCTCATCAAGCCAAGACAATGTCTGTTGTAACACGTCTTGGTAACTTGACCATTGAAGAGTCTGAGACTCATACTCTTTCTGTTGCTGAAGTATAGTATCGTTAAGTTTATCCCATCTTTCACGTAACTCTCTTATTTCAGTGCGAATATTCTCTCTGCCGTTAGCAGCCGTTTCAGGCAAAACTTTATCACTTGACGTCGTTAATATGCTAATTTTATGCTCGCCATTGTCTCTTTCCAAAAAGAATACTTGAAGTTTGCTGCCTTTGCTTTCGATGCTTAGTTTGTCTTCCTTTGTTACCATTTGAGATAATTGTTCTTCCAAAGGTTTGAGCCAAGCATCAAATTCATTACGCAATTGGACATACTTCTTGTGGTCCGCAACAAGTTCAGACCAGTGGTTCACGATTTCCTTTGAAATTAAATGGAGCTGTTGATAGCGACTGCTTACTTGTGTAACTAGGGGCTTTAGACGCTCTACTCCACTTAACTGAATAAGGCTGTGCGATTCATCAACAAAGGCATCAATTTCTTTTTCTTTACCATTAATTTCGTTTCGAAGACTAACATACTTTTGTAGCTGTGCTTCTTTCTCTTGTAATGTAGAGCAAAGGCTTTGATCTCGACACTTAGATTCCATGCCTTTAAGCCATTCTGTAATAGCCTCGATAGAAATATCGAATTTGTTCCAAATTTCTAAAGTATGCTTGAGTTTTTGTTCTGAAGAACCGACACATTCTACTGCATTACGTAACTGTTCTTGCAAGTTGTCAATTTCAGCCTTGATAGCAGTGTTACCGGCTTCTGAAGTGCTTTTGCTAACTGAAGAAAATACACCACGAATTTCATCTAGTTTTGAAGATCCAATTTTCTCAATATCTTTCATTGTAACAGCTGACTGAAGTTTTCGCATAATTTCAGGCTTTTCGCCAGTAGCGTTCTCAATATCAAGAAGTTTTTCAGATTGTGATCCAAGCCATTCTTTGTAATGTTGAATAAGGCGTACTAAATCTTCATGTCTCTTCACACAGTCTTCTAGATTATCAGAAAGATTTTGAGATTTAGTAACAATATTTTGAAATAATTGTTTAATTGATTGAAGATAGACGTTCAAAGACGCATCATGTGTCTGATCAACTAATTGTTGAGCTTTATCACAAACGGACTCCACTAATGTTTGATGACTCATTATTTCCTGATGCATTATCTTGTGGTTTTGCAGCTGTGCTTTTTTCTCTTCCAGCGATGCTTTGAGCTCAGTATGTCTTTGCATGGCTCTCTCAACATCCTTCAACCATTTAGTTAATTGTTCTTGAGCCAGAGAGAAATCAGAGAATTGCAATAGGCACTGGTCAAGTTTGTTGACAGTCTCTTGGAAGCTATCACCAAAACTATCCCACAATGTTCTTATTTTACGAATTTTTTGTCTAATAACTTCTCTACCATCAGGGCTTGTGTGTGTATATAGTTTCTCTCCTAAGCTCAAAAACTCCTCAAATGCTGGTGTTTTCTTGTTCCTAGTTTCATAAAGCTCCTTTGCTTTATTTTGTTTGTCTTGTAAAACAGCATAGTCACCCACAATTTCATTTAAGTCTTGCAGTTCGCCAAGCATACCCATAAGCCAATTTTCCATGTCGTTGTAGTCATTTTCAAATTGTTGGTGTTCCGCCACAAAGACCTCATATTTGGAAATTATTTCGTTGACCAAGTTGTTCAATGTATGATATCTAGTAGCCAGTTTAGATGTTTTGCTAGAAAGTTCAGATTCACTTGCGACATTTTGTTTGCTGTCGGTCAATGCCGTAAAATCTGCACTTCTGGATGCAAGCTCACTTCGGATTTCTTTTACTTTTTGTAAATGACCAATCTTTGCTTCCAAATTATTCTTAAGACTTTGGTCTCTAACTTGACCTTCCTTTACCTTTAACCACTCTTCTAGCTCGTCTAAAGTCTTTTGGCTAGCGGTCCATTGCTTTAATGTTTCCTTTAGTTTTTTATCTTGTTCTTTGCATTGTGTAGCAAATTGGTCCCAAGTAACTTTGAGTTGCTCGTATTCACTAATAAGTAGTGGATGACCATTTGAACTTGTGGACTGTAAAACTGTATTCAATTGAGATTTCAGCCCTCCAAGAATATTTTCAATATCTTGAGCTTTAGTCATCACTTTCTCAATAGCTAGAACCTTAGCATCAACATCTTCTTTCTGTGTTACGACTCCATAGTTTAGTAATGTATTTTCAGCAACGATGTGGTTCAAGCGATCTCGACAATCTTCAAACATTTGAACATATTTTTCGTGATCAGCAACGTGAGATTCACAAGTTGCAACACGTTTCTCAAGTTCTTTGGCCATAGTTCTATATCTATCAATAGTTTTGGAAAGGCTTTTCTCGGCTTCCTCATCAGGCATCAGTTTAATCTTGTCAGTTAGTTGAGAAAGCATAGACTGGTGCAGTTCAACCTCTTGGTGCAATATTTTGTTACCGTGGAGTTGAGCCTTCTTCTCCGGAAGCGTAGGACATAGTTTAAAATCTCCTAATTCACTTTCTTTATCAGCAATCCATTTCTGTACTTGGTTGAAAGTATCATCAAACGAGGACCTTTTGTTGATTGTAGTTTCAATGTCTTTGATGACATTATTGAGAGAGTCAACTGAATTTTCAAAATAATCTCTCAAAGATCTTAACTCGTTTCTGATTTGTTCACGACCTTCTGGTGTAATTCCACTAAACAAAGCTTCGCCTGATTCAACGGCATTGTTGAGTAGTTTTTGGCCGAGTTCTTTGTTGTCGTTTAATTTTTTGACTTGCTGTAAGTCGGCAGTTGTTGGTTTAGCATGCTTGCTCATTGCTGCCAAGTCTGTAATTTTTCCATTAGCATCTTGAAGCCAATTCTTGAACTCTGAAATTGATTTATTATATTGTCCTTTATTACCTTTGAGATCTTTAAGTCTATTAAGATGAGCTTCCGTGAATTTGACGACATTTTGGTATCTTGTCATCAAATGATTAATGTATTGCATTACACGTGAATCAGGATTACGTGCTAATATGTTCTCTCCGATAGCTGATAGCTTATTTATTTCTCCTCCGTAATTTTTGACGTCTATATTTAATTCTGTTATTTCAGCAATTTTGTCATCAACTTCGTTCAGGTTTAGAAGATTGGAAGCCTCCAACCTTACCTTATTTTCTTTGTCTTTTAACCACTCGGATACATTTTCCAACAGACTTTCATATTCCTGCCAAGCATCGATGTTTTCTTTTAGTCTGTTCTTAATCTCTTCGTAATTTGCAGTTAATACATCAAGATTCTTTTGGGCTTTGTCCGTTTGTATCAAAGCTTCTTGTACGGACGCTGGCTCAGCAACCACACGCAAGATTTCACAGGCTTCTTTCAATTCTTTCACTTTTTTTTGGCAGTCAGTTATACCATTCTCAACATCTGCTAGAGCAGCGTTCTTCACTTCCAAGTTATATTTATCACTATTAACATCAGGCATACACCACCTAGTTTTGTCATCTAATATCTTTAGATTTCTATTAAACATAGCCAGTTTGTCTGTAAACAACTTCTGTAAGAACGTAAGCAGGGTTGTTTCAGTTTTATTAGCATGTATTAAAACACTGTCAAATCTTTTTTGTAGTGTACTTAATTCCTTTGGAACCAACGATTCATAGAATCCAGGATAGTTTGCATTCATTTCAGATACATCTTGTATCAAATTATCAATCTCATCACTAAGATTTTGCAGTTCAACCTTACATGCCTGACATTTTTTCAGCCTGTCTAAAATCTTCGCATTGTCTCCTGTCATGTCATCGCACTGCACAATATCATCGCGAATTTTACTCACAGTGTCTGAAAGGTGTTTTATTTTATCTTTAAGTTTATTCTCCTTAGATTCTAGACCAGAAACTGCATTTTCTAAATTGATTGCTAATTGATGCAGAGCTTGGAATTCATTATCCAAATAGTCAATAATGGAAGTAACTTGACCCATAGGAATATTCTTATTTAAGTTTGTTATTTGTTCACATTTAGCTTTGATACTATTTTTCAAACCCAAATACAAAGGCAATTCTTCTTTGTATTTAGTAAGATGATTCTGACCAAATCTAATCTCAAGATTATCGCAGGCATTGGCCAAGTTCTGACCAGTTTCACTCAACCAAGTCACCACTTGGTTTTTAGTATCATCGATTTGTCGCCATACGATTAATTGAGCTTCGAGATCTTGTATTCTTTTGATGATGGCATCGTTTTCCTTCTCCCAATGCGTTTGTGAGTTCAAAAAAGCTTCTTCAAGAGGCGTTGTGTCAAAGCCTCCCAATGTAGACGCCTGTTTCAAAATAGATTGTTTGATAACATCCATCTGGTCTAGTAAACCTTTAGAGCGCTTGAGTATTTCATAAGCTTTCTTTGCTTTGTCCAAAGATTGAACTGTTTGGACGTAATCATTTGGCGCAACTTTACAATCATTGTGAAGTTGTTCGGCTCTGCCCATTTCTCTATCAAACGCAACTGTGAAGTTTTTCAATTCTTGCAACGTAGATGATAACAGAATATATTTGTTCTTTGTGTCTCGAACAGAATTTACAATTTGGTCCCAACTACTATCAGCAGCCGATAGAGCATTCTGAATAGTTCCCATATTAGGTTGGTCTTCCCTCATCAGATGAAGACCTTCTTCTCTTAGTTCTTTCCTAATAGATTGTTTCTCTTTCATCTCGCTGTCTAGTTTATCTAATTGATCAGTCATGTCCTGTATTGTAGCTTCTGTTAAGGGCACAGGTTTTTGCGACATTTCGTTCAAGACAGATTGGATGTTTTGCAAAACTTGTGCCAGAGCATTATGTTGAATATTGAACTTATCCCATCTAGCTCCAACTTTCTGCACCAAATCTCTTTTAGTCGTTATTTGATTCAATAAAGCTTCTGTCTTCATTTCAATTTCTCTCACTAAAGTTGTAGGAGACATAATCCTTCCTGTGTTCTGATCGGTGACCTTCACCCTTGATGGCCCATCTAATAAAGCTACATTACTCTTCCACTCTGGAACCTTAGTAATAACATTTACAAGTTCTTGACGAAGCGATTCATAGCTTTCAGGAGTCAATTTTGGGCCATCAATTTGATATTGAATGTGACTGAGTTGCTGCTTAGTATCTTCATACCAGTTCAGGAGTTCAGACCACTTTTGCAGTACACCTTTATTTTGTTGTATGTTGTTTTCGATGATCTGGTAGTGCTGAGCTATGTTGGAATAAGTTTCGCTCAAAGCACGTGATTCATCAGGATGTGAAGACAAAGTCATATTTTTTATTTCATTGTAAATATCAGTGAACTCAGGTTCCTTGGCAGCGTGTTCTTGTAAAAGCACGTGCATAGACTGTAACGCTGGCTCGACTTTATCGGCGCTGATTTGATCGTAACTTTCAGTTTTTCTTCTAAAATCTGTTATCCAATTGTCGAAGTGGTGCACTTTTGTCATAAATTCCTGTCTGACAATGATTTTGTCCGAAAGTTCATTCACTTTAGCTCTAACAGTTTCTGCAAGAGCATTTGTGTGTTGTTTGATATCAGAAACTTTGTTTTTCAAAAGATTTGCTCCTTCAGGTTGAATATTGTGGCAAATATTGTCACAAGTCTGGGACAAACTAATTATTTTAGCTTGTTGTTGCGAGATTTCATTTCCAAATGACTTGAGTTTATTTAGTTCACGATCAAGTTTCTCTATCTGAGGAGATTCGATAGTAATATTGCGAGCACTTAATAGTTTGTCTCCGTTTTCGATCCACGTCTCAAGTTTTTCTGCTTCTCGCTCGAAGTTTTCCCAGTTAGCAACAAGTTTATCTAATTTGTTATTCCACTGATCAGCCAAATCGTGCACTACGGCCCACCTTGAATGTATAGCGTCAACTTCATCAGGTGCACTTGTCTTGCCAGATAACTGATGGCTAACGCTAGATAAGATTTGAAGGTTCATCAGTTGTTTGTCGCAGTCAGTGAGCAGACCTCTGGATTGATGCTGCAGTTGTTGTGCTTCGGGCAACGTGCTGGGTTTAGGCACATTTCCTAATTTCATCTCAGCTTCTTCAATCCAAGGCTTAATTTCAGAAACTCCTTTCTGGTATTTTTGCCAGCTAGCCAAATCATGTTCCACGACTTTAGTTTGATGCTCTGTCGAACGCTGGAGGTCAGCCATCATCTTTTCTAGGAGATGAACTTCACCTTTGAGTCTATTAGCATCCTGGATACGGTGTTCTACTGCCAATTTAGCTCCTTGATCGGCTACTCCTCTGATAATACCAAGTTTCTCTGAGATAATCTTTTGCAGAGCTTGCGACTTTTCCACGCGCTCTTCAGGAGTAATGGTATCTGCTCGAATCTGACCAACAAGTACAGGACTTTCTTTTTTAATCCATTCTCGTACATGCTCCAACTTGTGTTCAATCTTTACCCATTCTTCGTTGAACTTCTCTAAATGCCCAACTTTAGTTTGCACTTCATCTTGAACTCTGCCTATCTTATGCTGAATTGTTTCTAGGTCCTTTTCAATTATCGGTTTAGGTTTATTACCAGTGAGGGTCTGCAACTCAGCATAAGCATGTTGTAGTTGAGGCAGTCTTTCTCCCCTGGCCTTTTCTAAGTCAGCGTTGATGATCTTAGTTTCTTGTAGTTCACGGCCAATGTTTGTAACACCGAGTTCCAAACCTGGATGAGCAACATAGTTCTCAATTTTTTCAAGATCTGAAAGCAGCTCTTCCTTTTGATATTCGTAATTAGACCATACTTTCTGTGTGTCACGTAATTTATGAAGACGATCAGTGGAAGTTTCGTAAGCTGAGTTCCAGACAGTCTCCAATTTCCTTACATCATTTCTAACGAAGGGTGGGGCATTGGCGTCCGTGATGAGGTCTTTGCCTTTTTGGAGTATGGACATTACAGACGGTCGATGGCGGTCGAGTTTATGCACTGCAGCTTGTTGTTCCAGGACGAGTTGCTCAACATGTTGCAAGGATTGTGGCTGTGGTTCTATCATGGCCTGTTCCTTGGCGCTTTCTAATATGCAAATTACCTCATGGACTTCACGCCTGTAAGTATAGCATCTTGTGTATGTTTCTGTCTTTATCATAGTGATTTCAATAGTTGGTATGAGATTCTTATATCGTGAAATGAGGTTTTCAAGTCTGAGTTGTTCTTCTTGAGCTTCCACTTCTGAGCAATGGTTTGTGAGCATGTCCAGGGTTTGGACGAGCCATTTCATGTCTTCTCTTTTCCTGTCAGCTTCGCGACAGATGTTCTAGACAAATTAGGAACATAATTATGTTAAATAAATAAGAAAATGCAATATCATAATCAGGGATACGAAATAAGTTGTGCATTTACATAATTATGTATACTATAAAACGAAATATAATTACCATGAGTTCTCTCAACTGTTCTCGTAGTAAGCATTCAAAGAAATCACACGATTACATTAAATTTATAATTAGGATAAAGAAAGTAGGTATTAAAAAAAATAAAAACTTGACGTATTATCGTTCATTAAATACGAAAACAGTAACTTACCTGGAAAATAGTCTTCTCTCGTTCAAAAGCCTCAGCAGAGTCGACTTCTCTGACAATACTGTCCATTGTTTTGTCCACATGGTCCATCCATCTTTCCATTTCTCGGAATTTTTCTTTGTAAGCGTCCCATTTAGCTGGAATCCTTTGCAATTGCTGCCTAAAGTCTTCCACTCTATGTACTGTGCTCTCCCATTCTTGCTCGCATTTTCTTAACTCATCTTCAAGGGATGTGTCCCCAGTTTGATGTGTGTAGCTAGTGGCGATTTTATGTAGATTTTGCAAACAGTGTTCCACTTGCATTATTTTGCCTTGGTTGCGGAAATATTCCTCGTTTCTGATGAGAATGCCATCAGCGTCATCGCTTTGGTTATAGGCCTGCAAAGATAACAAAAAAAACTCTTTGTTAACATGTATAAAAACAAATAGAATAGAATAATTTATTTCATATTATCAATGTCACAGTATTAGAATTTAAATTATAGTGTCAGGGACAAAATAATCATTACTGATATAAAAAATGATAATGAACATAAAATAAGGTACTTTAAGTAAAAAAATATAAATAAACACAAAATATTGTCGAAATACATTGACGTCAGATTAAAACATAATTACAATTTATTTGAAAGAAATACCTTTACGCTGTAGAATTCGCTATCTAATAAAAGGATTTTAGTGAGGTGTGAAACGTTTCGTCGTTTGTAAGACTTTTCAGGTTTATGGGTCACCTACCCAACGCATAAAAAAATTCGTAAGGTCTGTTGACTCGATCTATATTTGTAGAATTTTTCTTTGTGTTAATAATATGTATATTATTATTAGATTATCAAATCGTTAAAACTGGTCATATTCCACATAAAAATAATTATAATTAAATGCAATTGACCTGTTCTTCATAAACGATCTCCTTCTCGATGTCCTTGATGCAATGGTGAAAAACAGCTTGGTCAAGTCTGAACTCCAGTCGCATGAGGTGCGGCGGCGCACGGGCCAGCAGTTCGCGCCAGCGCCGCTGCAGCTCCTCCACTGATTGCACGATGCGAGGACGGTCTTCTTCGCTCACCAGCTGTTCATATATTTAACAAAGTGAGTAACTGAATGAGCCACGAGCAAAAACAGAACACTCCCAAGTGAACCAAATAGGTGAACCATGACTACGGAGGCGCAGATCTCTTCTAAAACCGCTATATTCAACTTTCGGGTTTATAGCAATAAAATTGTAAAGCATATTTTTTTACCGACTTTAAAAAGGAGGAGATTCTCAATTCAACTGTTTTATTATGATTCTATTTTTGTTGGAAAGAGGGTACCTCAGTATTGGTCCCATTGAAATTTGAAGAATATATTCCAACTTTACGGGTGGCATAATATGGGATGAATCCGGTTCCGTGCACTTTCCAGTAACGGATTCCAATAAAACTTGGAAAAAAAATAGACGTAATTCCGCGAACTTTTGAGATCGGTTTCTTTTTTAAAGTTTTAACTATGAATATTCAGGATGCTGTTCCATCCACATGAATACATTGTGTTTTATAGCGAGATAAAAAATTTAAGAGCTTACTATAAGCAATATCAACAGGAAAATGAAACATTTTTCCGGATTTAAATCGTATATTTTTGCTTTTTCAAACAAACCAACGTTTCGGGCTCTTTACACATGTATTTTGAAATTTGAAAAACAAATATACGCGATTTAAATCCGGAAAAATAGTTTCATTTCCTATGTGTAACATTCGCGAAAACCTAAGAACTGGATATGCCATATCAACAATTTTTCTAAACCATTCTAAAATAGAGTTTTACCCACCTCTAGAAGTTCCCGTCCAGATCGAACTAATTCCGAGACAGATCTCTCATCAGCGCCCTGGAAGAATCGCTTGTGGAAGTCCACGGCCTGCTTCGAGTCTACTCTGTTATCGGCTAATAACGTTTCGGCCCTGGAGGCCCATTCCTCAACCACTCGTTTCTTGGTTTCAAAGTCTTCCCAAGCACGCGCTAAGCGCTGAAGGTTCGCTTCGCGACGGGTGGCTTCGGCCGAAACATGAGCGAATCTGTGGAAAAAAATAATAGTCATTGCTAATATTGCATGTAGTATATCACACCCTAACAAGTGTAGTAAGGCCACGTCTACAAAATGACAACTTTTCAGGAGAGAGGTTTAAAGATTCTACGAACTAGAATAGTCGATAATTTTTTAACCGACTTTAAAAAAAGGAGGAGGTTCTCAATTCAACTGTATTTTTTGTCTACTTTACACGATATTCCACATCTAAAGGTGCCTTAGCACACGTAAGGCAACCTTAGAGGTTACGTTAATTCAAAAATGAGAATAGCCGTGATGGTCGCCAACCTTCACTTTTGACATTTGACCACATGTGGCTTCACTCTTGTGGCACCTGCTTGTTTAAATGATGAAGGGTTATCCGTTACAGCCTACGCTCAATTTTGAAATATAAATGTACTTATTATAGTACATTAGAAATTATTAACGAGAGTTTGTAAGAAGCCCGAAGCCAAAGGCTGAGGACTTGAATGACTCGAGCTTTGTAACTTTTACCGCCCGTGCTTGATACAATGTTTTTCGTTTGCGAAGATATAGATACAACGATAATTTATTTCTTGTACGAATAAATATCGCTTGACAACACAACATTTACGGATTCTGCAAATGGCGGGTTTTTTTTTAAACAGATATTCAGTTATTCTTCCACAGATAATACAACTCGAACTAAAATGTTATAAAAGGCATGCCGCCACTGTGTATTAGATATAAAATAAATACTTTAAAGTAAATACTATGCTTTACTAAATTTATTTTCGTAAATTTATTTTAATTTATTTTATTTTATATTGGACAAACAAAGCGAAGTATTTGTACCCGCGTCAAAGAACATAAGCTGATGTCAAACACCGTCGCGTAAACAAGTCTGCAGTCTGCGAGCATGTCATGGATAAACCTACACATTCAATGAAGTTTGACAAACCCCAGGTCCTTGCAAAAGAAGTCCGTTATCTACCCAGGATGTTGCGAGAGGCCATTGAAATTAAAAAACATCCTAATTTCAACAGGGAAGATGGTTTCTCCGTACCACCAGTTTGGGATCCAGTATTTCCTCTAATGAAAAATCCCAAACAGACATAAGACTGCAGTACTAATTAATATGTTTTAGTTTATTCTAATTTCTATTATTAATTAATAATAAATTGAACTTAATAAAACTAAAATAAAATAATTTGTAAAACTTAATGTAGCGTAAATTGGAATGTTTTCCAAAAAAAAAAAATATTTAATTAATAACTATTGTAAGTATAGTGAAAAAATTGGGTGGTTTGCATCAATATTAGACATAACTGGTTGAAGACTGTACCACCTCAGTCAACCGTGACCATGGGACCTGTAAAGGGCCCGAAACGAAACGAAAAATAGTTTCATTTCTTATTTTAATAATTCAAATTCTATTAAAAATAGTTTATTAAATAGAAATAAATTCAGATTTTTTGAATATAAAAACTTTTTGATTAGTCTTGGCTGTATAAGAGGAGTTATATAGTGCAGTATACATAAAATTAAAAATCTATTGCCGCCCTAGGACGGTAATGTAATGAAAAAGCCCAATTTCCATAAAGCCCAATAGTTAGGACATTACGGTCCAATTTGCCTTCATGTCATGAGATTGTTTACGAGCAAGTGTAATGTAAAATAATTTATGCGTAACCTACCTATCTATTTGTATAAGATCGTTCATGTTAAACTATCGCATTAGACCACATAATACAAAGTCAATCATAGTCACCTTTCATTAAGATTCTTCATCAGCCGGACTTGTTCTGTGACGTCAGCGCTGCGGTCGGTGTCAGCCGCCTTCACGATGTTCTGGAAGACTTTGTTCTTGCTCTCAAGCATCGAGCGGTAGTACGTCGTGCGCGAAAAGAACGTGCGGTGCATCTCATAGCGTTCCTCGATGACTTCCCTGCGAATATAGATATTATACAATATACAACTGTGAACAGGTTTTTTTTAGGAAGAGATAGGCGGTCTATAAGAAGTGGGTGGGTGAAGACACAGCCTTGATGATGATTATGAAAGGGACAGGGGATAAAGTACCTAAATGAAGGGTAAATTGGTTATAATACTAAGTCACGGGATGAACAAGTCGTGCGCCTGATGGTAAGCGACGAATCCTGTCCATAACAGTTACAGTCCCACTACGCCTGTCACCGTGAGACATAAGTTGACAAGTCCCATGTGCCTGTAATTTCACCACCTCGCCCTTCAAAACTGAAACACAGTAATACTGACATTACAGTAATGCTGGCAGTACTCCCTGGACGAACTCTTTCACAAGAAGCTCTACTGCTACTAAAGCTTATAGAGCCTACCATATAAAGCTTAGAGAGCCATCTCAACATGCTTTTGGAGAAGAGAGGATGACATTTACTGCACAAACAAGAGCTTTTTGTGCCACGTGTTCTTGTACAGTAAAGTAAAAAATAAAACAATAAAATTTAGTTTTAAAATTTTCATTTTCTCCTTAGACAGAGACCTATGTGTGTGATTGGTGGGGGAATAGCGAAATTATAACCTACCGCCTGGTCTCGAAACTGGACTGCAGAGTCTCCTCGGCCCGATCCAACCATTGGCCGATCTCCTTTTGGCCGCTCTCCAAGGACTCATGCTGCACCAAGAGTTGTCTGAATTGATGAAGCTTCACGGGTACAGTCGCTCTCACGCGGACCAATGCTTCTTTCTGTTGTTTCAGTTTCGCCATATTCGCTTCTACCTCATCACGGGGAAGCTCAGCGATTGCATTTTGGAAAGTTCTGGGGGGGAAAAGCACAGACATACAATTAATACGATTTACACAAGTGTGCACGTCTATATAGTAACTTTGCTGAATTTTCTCTTCAAACTTGACTGTGTGCAATTTTCTAGTTCAAACTCTATTTGACCTAGAAAACTACTATTTTTATTTAAAAGTATAATATGTTGTATTTTTTACATAACTGATTTTTTTTACTATATCAAGTGACGAGACGAACGAGTCGTGCGCCTGATGGTAAGCTACACGTCTGTCCATAACAGTTGCAGTGCCACTCAGAGCTTTAAATCGCAAAGATCTGAGGGGCGCTGCCAGTGCGCCCGTCCCCTGATACATAAGTTGACAAGTCCTATGTGCCTACAATTTCACCAGCAACCTTACCCTTCAAAACCGATATGCGTCACTTCGCGGAAACCCATGTAAATAAAAATGGCATAAATAAATATATAATACTCGAGTAAAATTAATTGTAATGTGCCTTTGTGTATTTAATATTATGCGAAGAAGGGGAAAAAATTAAAAAAATCTTTTTTTTTTTTTGTATGTATGTGACGCGATAACTCCGGTATTTGTGAACCGATTTCATGATTCTTTTTTGTTGGAAAGGGGGTACTTCCATAGTGGTCCCATTTCATTTTGAAGAAAACCATCCACCTCTAAGGTTGACTGTTCATGCATGAAGATTCATTTTTATAAATAGCGTCTAATTTATAAGGATAGGAAATTAATTAAATTTTTATTGAATTGATATTCAATTATTTGTTTGTGAAATCACTCCACTAGTTTGTTATAATTATTAATACAAAGATCGAACATTCAGAAAAAACACTCAGAAAAAATTCCTTCGATCCGGTCGGATTCGAACCGACGTCTTCTTGCATACCGTGGCAGACGCTATACGAACTAAGCCACGGAACGAACCAACGGACCTCACGAATTTTTCTATGTGCTTGCGTCGTGTCTTTGTACTTGGTCTTTCAACGACTTTTTAGTTGTAGCGCCATCTATGAGAAATCTTTCACAGATTTATCACCCAGTTAGTACCTTTACAGCTACCAGTCCTGGCGAGAGATCTCGCTATTCACTGTATTAATTAAATTTTTATTGAATTGATATTCAATTATTTTTTCGTGAAATTACTCCACTAGTTTGTTATAATTATTAATACAAAGATCGAACACTCAGAAAAAACTTCTTCGATCCGGTCGGATTCGAACCGACGTCTTCTTGCATACCGTGCCAGACGCTATACCAACTAATATATTAGATAGGAAATTAGTTATTTGTGGTAGTCAAATAAATGTATTTTCTTTTTTCTTTCTTTCTTAAATATTCAACGCAAGCACTATTTTGCACTATTTAACCTTAATTGGATCCGCGGAGTAGTAAGATACGCTACTTCCAGTTTTATTTATAAATATTATTAAAAAAACCGTTGTAATGAAACTATTTAGTTTTAGTTGACTATCAACCGTGGCCATGGGACAAAGGGAAAGGCCCCGAAACGTTGGTTTGTTTGAAAAAAACAAATATACGCGATTTAAACCCGGAAAAATAGTTTCTTTCTCTATGTGTAACAATAGCGAAAACCTAAGAACTCGATAAACCCGTCGTAGTCTGATGGTTTGACCTATAGTATGACCGTAGTATGATGGTGATGGTACTTGCACGTCGAAGAAGGTTCACAATTTTCTGAAAACGTGAAAAGTCCCCAACCCTCATTGGGCCAGCGTGGTGGACTATGGCCTAAACCCTCGCCTGAGAGGAGACCCGTGACCATCAGTGGCACGTATAAAACGGTTGATGATGATTATTTTACCTGCTTATACTCTTAAAGAGTTCCTCATTGTGTTCAACCTCGGAGTTGAGCTGCAGCAATTGCTCAATGTAGTTTTGGATATCAGCAGTGTTGGCGCAGGGCTGTCGGCTCAGAAGGTTGTCTGCAGCTGTTAGCCACGAGTCCAGGGCCTGGATGCCGTTAGCGAGCTCGCGACGATGGCGAAGTGCATCGCCCCCACGGACGTAGCTGGAATAGAGCTTAGGCTAATACTAAATAACACAACAATATTTAAAATTATTGAAAATTTTTGTGTCACCTTTAAAAGTGTAAATTTTTTACTGAAAAATTGTTGCTTTATACAGGTTATTCGTAAAATACCATTACTAACATCATAAACAACTTTTGTTCCATAACTTTGAATAATTCATCAAATTTTACTTTCATACAAAAATAAAATATATTTAAACAGATCGCTCGAAACGGTAACAACTCTGTGCAGGACCGGGGTGGGAGTCATCCCAGAGGACGCTTGCATATTTGAATATGGATACCTCCAATGAACCAACTTTATTATTCGGTTTTTGTCTGTTATTTTTGTAAACAGACTTATTTATTTACTGATATGATGCTCCACGAATTTTGCTAAAAATAACATAAAGGAACAAAAAACAAATTCATATCCAATTTTGTCAAAAATGAAATAAAGAAACAAAATAAATACAGGACAGGTCCAAAAATTAAGTTGACGTAGTGTGGGGGTCCTTAAGAGTTTAAATTTCACACGTCACGGTATTTTAGTGCGCCTTGAACGCCTAGACGACATTTCCGTATTCAAACAAATAGTTTTTAAACTTATAGTTTCGTCATATCCTCTGTGACGAAGTAATGGGACCTGTGTATTTTATATTTATTCTCAGATTCATTTCAAAAGCTTCTTTTTTGAACTTATTGTTTTCATAAACAAGATAATACCTATGACTTAATACTTTCAACGACAGTTATAAAGAACTCCATAGCAACGATACTAAATGAAACTTAGGATTTAAATCTGTCATAAAGTTTTGAAAAGTTAAAGTAGCTGTTATTGCATACGAATTATGGTTGAAATAGAATATGATTAATAAGCTCAATTACATAGCCGCTACTGACTCTATCATCCCGTCTGATACGCTCTTGACCTGTTCTAATTTAATGGTATTTTAATTACAACTGCTAATTTACTTTGGGTTCTATTTAATTGGAACAAAGACTACTCACCGTTCCGCCTCTTCCCAAACGCGTTCCCATCTTTCGGTGATCTCAATGTATTTCCTCTTGACTTCAGAACTGATCTCTTCCGAACAAGTAGCAGCTAGGAACCCAGCCGCATCACCCAAAATCTGATGCCTCTCCTTCCAAACTGTCAAGTCTTGGAAGAACTCCAATCTTTCATCTTCGGACACTCGCAACATATGTTGAGCCCTATCCAGCCACGTTGTAAACTCATCAGCTAAGGTGTTCCATCGCTCCCAATGCGCTATTACTTCCTCTAATACGCTCCGAGCACATCTTACATCAGATGCTACCCTTCTCCATGTTTCCGAAACATCACGTAAGAAGGTATCGATTTCTCTCGCTTCGTTCCTATCAACTTCACACACTCTCTTATATTCCTCAGCAACTTGCTTTATATCCACATACGCTCTGTCGAATTCTTGGAAAATCTTGTTCTTCGTAACAAAGTTATCATAGTCATCTAATAAGGCACGAACGTGGTCAATTCGACCGTACTTCCCGGTCCATGACGCTAGCTTAGCTTTAGTCAACTCCGTGAATGCTACTATGCAGCATTTATGCTCCAAATACTTTAACCTCGCCTTTCTTTGAGGCGCTCGACGACTCACATTGTCGAATCGGTCTTTCATTTCCTCCAATCTTTCTGGAGGTATTCTTGACGCTTCGGGAGATCTTAGTGCTGCGTCGAATCTTTCGAAAACTTCAGGAAGACCAGCAAAGAAAGAGCTGTGCTCCTCTAACTTTTCACTGATAATAGCCGCAGTTCTCTCGTCTAAACTTGTGGGAATTTCATCGAAGTATAACAAGTACTCTGCTCGTGCAAGCCACTCGCCTACTACTCTAAAGTCTCCAGGTAGTTCGGAGTCTAGTAGCCAAAGCCATCGTCTGTGAAGTCTCTCCAACTCCGTCCATAAAGAGACAAGTTCTCTCCAAGATTTAGGTGCGATGGCGACGAGGCTCTGTGTGTACATGAGTTTTTCGAGTTTCTGGTAAGTAGGTTCGCGGGCAAGGCGCTCGCGCTCGGCGCGCGCGTATTCGTCGTAGTTGCGCGGGAGTGTCCGCGCGTCGTATTGCCTCTGGACGGTGGTGACGCGGTCTGTCAGCCACATCCGAAGCGTTTCGTACTCCTCCTGCACTGCCGCTACGGCGTCTGGGCCTGTCGTCTATAAAAAAAAATACTTTTCCTTTGTACACACACTCACACAGTACACTACATTATGGAATTACTTAAATTGGCAGTATAAATTGCGAAATTTTCAGAATAT